ATTTGGAGGGGGGCGGGGCGGGGGGGGGAAGCTTCATTGAATTGGAGAGAAGAGGGTTGGTGCTCTTTGGCCTCTGGCTACATGTTCCTTTGAAGGGGAGGGCGTGCAGGCAGGCTTGCCTTTTACCACCCTGCGACACCTACTTTGCAGGTTGTGAGTACGGCGGTTCAACAACGCAGCCAAGTTTTGTGAAACGCTGCGCAGGTCTTTATTTTGCCCACGATAAGATGCTGAGTTTTTCCTCCAGGGGTAACTGAACCGCCACGATTTTGTACCAGCTTTGGTACTTGCTCCGTTTTCATAGTTTCCCGCAGTCAGGGCTGATGCTGGAAAAGCTCTGCCGGGGCCTCGGCCCTTGGATACCCCCCTGAAAGGAGCTGCGTGACTCGATAGGGGTTCAGCCGACCCCCGCAAACCGCTCGCCCGCCTTCAGCTGGGTCGGTGCTGGCGTAGAGGGGAGGGCAGATGCTTTTGGCAGCTGTGGCTTCCGCTGCACTCACAAAAGTAAAGTTCGCACCACGTACCCCTGCTGCGAGCACTCGGGTTTAACAGAGAAATAGAAAAGCAATCCCAGAGCAGCTGTGGAACCAGGCAAATTTAACTTCTCTCTAAAGGCACGTTTGTGTCTTGCCCAACTCGAACCAGAAGTTACTCAGAAGCGCTGAGAAAGGGAACTGAAAGTTTATTATTAGATATGTTCTTTGGGGTACCGCACTTCAGAGAGAGGAGCCAGCAAACAGCCTGCTCGAGCTCGTGGGGAACTGTTTCTGAACACTCCATCTACTCTGGATAAAGTCACTCCATTTTACAAACTGTAAATGTTTAGGAGCAGACCTGCAACAGGAGAGGATGTTTTTATTGTGCAATTGAATTTGTTCAGGTGACAGACCGGGGTATGTCTGGGTGCTGCGGATCCAAAGTGATGTGCTCAGATGGAATACAGGGTATAAATGCTGATTATTTCTAGGAGACTAATTAGAACTTCTCCGTGTAATTAGAAATCTCATTTGATTGCTAAAAATCACTGCAAGTCTAATCCTGCAGTTATCACAAAATGAAAGGTTTGAAAAGTGATGAATACTGCTCATTTCTAGGTGGACTAAACACAGCAGCTCCCGAGGGAGCCCTCACAAGGAGGATAGACACAAATACCCCTGTGGTGTAGCAAGAGACCAACAACGTTATGTAAACTATAAAGATGCATTTTCTTCCGCCAGCTCAGATTCACCTTCAACTGCATCTTTCTTGGAAGTAAAACTGTTTCAGCCCATACACATGACCTGAAAACTCAGACCCATTAACTTCAAAAAACAACGAACCACGTTAAGTATTCTGTGTTGGCACGGGAACAGAACTGTTTGAGTAGGAACCTGCGTTCCACTCTTAGCCCTGAAGTCATAAACCAGCATGTGGAAGTCGCAGCAAGCATCAAACAACAGCAGGAAATCCTACAATAATTAAACTAGTCCAATTCATACAGCAAAGAATTCTGAAACACGACGGGGCAGCGCGTTACGTGATCCCCGATGACCCGCACGCTCCCATCCTGCGCGTTCACTTCTCGCAGGAGCGGGGCGGCTGCTCTGCTGGCCGAGCCGCGCCGGCTCCCCTGGGCTGACCCCGCGGGCGCTTCGTCCCCTCCCGCTTTCGCCCGCCCCTCCAGCAGAACACCCGCTGGTTCTTCAGAGCCCACGGCCGTTGCTCCTGCTGTGACGGCACTTTCTAAATCTGGTTCCTCTCTCCCAGCTTCGCCAGGAATCGCTGAACTGGTGTCAGAAGGTTCATGCTGCAAACAATGGTGCGAACTACAACCTACTTTTCCTATTGTTTCAGCTGTTGCAAACGACGTGGAAGTTTCGGTGGTTTCTACAACACGTTCTCCTTCAACGGCGTCAGCTGCGGGACCGTTTGTTTCTGCTTTTGTTTGGGGGTAGTCGCCACCTGTCTTTTCAGCGCGATCTCCTCCTGAGCTGCTAAGCGTTTCTTCCTCTCCATCACGCTCAGAACGGACCGCTTCCTGCGGCTGTCAAGAAAATAAATGAATTGGTTTACAGCTGAAAGGGACTGGGCACACAAAACTGCTCTAAAGCCAGGCCAAGACGCTTGTTTCTCCAGCATCTACTTCCAGAAAGCCCAGTCGGTAACGGTGCTGAGGTTTTCCTGATCTTGTACCGCGCGTGGGAATGAGTGGCAGGGAGGCCGGTCGCCTCCCGAGGGTTTCCTCTGCAGTAGGAAACGCTGCTGGGCCGCTGCCAAGGGGCCACAGCCTCCATCGGAATGAACAGCGGGGAAGACGGGCGAAGCACCACACCCAGGCTGTTTTCGAGAACTCGGGGGCCACAAAATCAGCCGAGGGATCTCAACTCTCATGGAGAGAAGCGTGTCTTAACCTCGCAATTAGGGAAATTACCGTCCTGTCAGTACGTAACTGGCGAGTGAGCCGCCTTCCTCGGTCGGCCTAAGTGAGTTAATCCCGAATTGCTGCATTTTGCCTCAGGAGGGTGTGAACTGTGAGACCTGGTGCTGTCTAGAGAGCAGTTACCCTACGTCACCATTAGCTCTTACCTGCTTTAGCAAAAAACAGCTGGTAACTCACATGTCCCTGTCCGTGGACCATCAGGATCCGGCAGGCACCTCTCCAGGAGCCGCTGGATTCACGGATCCAAAGACTGAGTCGCTCTCTCACATACCCAAGCCCTCTCCAACCCCAAAACCACTGCTCACTCCAGCAAGGAAGAAACACAAGTCCTTCCCAGCACTGGATGATTCTCCCACATGAAAGTGTGATGACTCAAGATAGCTTCCCTTTCCTAGGTACCAAAACATACGCATCTGCTCTCCAGCAATTTGAATTTTAACTTTTTTATGTACAATCCACAGTAGCTCCAAAAGTTAAGCCTGTCAAGTAATGCTGGAGCCACTATCTTAAGGGTAAACCCCTCAGTCCTCCAGCTTAGTTCCAGAGGTCACATGCTTCATGGAAACTTGCTTTCCAAGAAGCCATCTACAGATTAACTATATCTGCAGGCTCCAGTTCATGGCCACAGAAGTAGCCCGTTTGTCCCTGCATATTATCTTTCCTTTAAGAAAGGTTTTTAATTTCTGGTACAGTGTCTACAAAGAAATCCCACTCGATTTGGGGGTTTACCTCACATTTTCCTCTTTATAAAACTAACGTTTTGTGTTCTTCATCTGTCCACCTCCTATTTTGCAAAAAGAGGTCATTTTAATCCTGGGGTAGGCTTCAGAATCAGCCTACCTCGCATCCTTTATCTAGAGAGGGTGACCGAGGAAGAAGGGTGGCCTGAGCGAGGCCTTCAATACTGTAAGTAGTGAATCTGGGACCAGCGCTTACGATGAACAGTCCCCTGTTTAATTACCTAAACAACAGGAAAGCACCAAGCCTTCAAACACTTGGACCAAATAAAGATGATGAGACCCAAATCTTCACAGACAAAATCCTCAAGGTTTTCTCTACCTGTGCGACAAGGCGGAGAGAGTGAAGCAGCGGCCGTGACCGAGCACCCTCCGGCCATCTTGAGGAGCCCTTTCTGCTTCCCACTCCTAGGAAACAGGCTCTTTGCCTCTCCACTCCCTCCTGACCCCCAGGTCCCTCTGGGTAAGTTCACTTCTGGTTACCAGGCACCCAGAAAGGTGTCTGTGCAAAAGACACCATGCTTCAACCGTGGGCTCCGGTGCTTGAGCCCGAACTCTTGCGTATTTGAAGGACATGGATTATTCACTTCTTTTTTTTTTTTTCCATTTTAAGAACATTCTGGTTTTTAGTCTGATGACCTCTGCCGTGACTTGTTTGCAGCACGTTGTCATCAGCTCCGACCTGGAAGCACTTGGGGCCCCTCTGAACGAGGGATACCAGGTAGGGAGGTGGTCATTTTTTTCTTTTAATACCAGTGACAGATTTAGCGTGTGCGTGCCACGCTGTATTCCTGCAAGGAGGAAGCACTGTCTTTAACCATTGTATCACAGTTCTCTATCTTCCCAATGAAATATAAGAGGTTTCAACCCCTCAGTCACATTAAACAGCACAAACATGAACCTCTGTTTCTAAAAACTGACATTTATACTCACAAATACCCCCTACCCCACGGTCTTCCCTGCTATATCAAGACAAAACAGGAACAAAGGTGTTTCGGTCAGATTTGATGTGATCTCACCAAAGTACATGAATCAGTCAGCAATCTGTACTACTGCCAGAGAGATCCTTACCTTCAGCCTGATTTGAATTCTGTCCTCGGTAACATCAAGCACTTCAATTAACGGCTGAGTTTCCAGTGCTGATTGGGAGCAAAAGGAAGGGCATAAAACAGTGCCTAGAAATCCATCAACATTTTCTTCACTGAGAAACAGCCTTTCCTGAAGAAAAGAAAGAGCAGGTTACGTTCTGTTCGTACTACACTTCAGCGGTACGGGAGCACGAACGTCACTCCGAAGCCTGGCCGCCGACTCACAACACAAGTTTCACAGCACGCTCGCGTCTCGATAGAGAGACTCCCAAGTCAGACATTCAGAAGTAACGAGGTGAAATGAAGACCAGTGCTTAGCTCATTTCGATTCAAAGTACAGATCTGCCTCATACACGAAGACGACAGACAGACATGTTTTCTCCCTTTCTAGACGTGACTAATAGAGATGTAGACTCCTTCTGAGGAACGATTCCCACCAACATCGTTCCACCGTCCTCACCTGTCTTAACATCAGGAAGGCGTTTTGCTTTTATGGATCTTTAGGAAAAGGCAAACACCTCCTTGGACTGTCACTGCAGGATCTTTGAACCCTCAGCCTTCAAGATCAGGCCTTCTAAAGGGAATGCTATGCAACATGCATGGCTATATCTGTTTCACCTCCCTCCACGGAGGCTTCTTGGATCTCCATTTAGGCAAGCGTAAACACCAGTTGGAGGAACCGGAGCGGTACCCACAGTGAAAGACAACAGTCTGGGACATGTTTTGAGGCTGTTAACACGCAGTTCACAAACAACATGAAACACGTTGCTACAGGTTTAAAGATTTAAATCAGTTACAGGTAATTAAAGGTCCTAAAATATATCCTGGAGGGGCTGTTTCATAAGATCTACAGAGCTTTCCCTGTCCTCATATTCTCCCTAAATCATCGGCTGTAGGCTGCAGGTAAGGACAGACCTTGGCACAAGAAAAATGGTTTACCCTAGAGGACTACCCGTATGTTCCTGAATTAACTTTCCTGTTTAACAATGAACTGTTTAATTGGAAATAGCAGGGAAAAGCTGCAAACCTTCTACTTTTAAGTCGTACTTCTAAATTTCTTGGTCCAGGTCTACCCTCTTGTCAACCCCATGCAAGTTACGTTCAGTTACCACTGACGTCTTGCGGACTGAGAAGCAAAAAAGGCAATTCTGCACATTTTTGGCCCCCTGTGGACATAGCCTTATGCACAGCCAGATGCCGCACTGTGTCTAAGGTACAAAATTTAACTGTCATCCTAAAAAAAATTATTCTGTACGGGAAAAATGAAACAGCGTCCTGTTTTTTCACGATTTAAATTAGAAATCACAATACGGAAAGTCATAACATACCTATGGCTGGCTTTTAAAACCAGAGGATTGAATTCATTTTCTATCCAGAAAGATTATAATCCAGGCAAATATCCAACATCGGATGCTGAGACGGTCTGTGAAAAGATTAAACTACAGCAGGGTTGCCCTGACAGAAACCCCCCAGTAACAACGTACTTCTTGCATTTTTGTACACCAAGCCTACAGCACTTATTCCCTCGCGTTGCTTCCTTTCCTGCCTGCCAGAGAGGGACCCTGCCAGCGCTTTATGCTTGCAGACATATTCTGCAGAGTTCAAGAGAAGGTGCCAGAGTAAAGAAACAAGGCAGGGAGTACAGACACAAAAATCTGAGCAGCACCGAAACTCCCACGAGCTCGCGACCTAGATCGTTGTCAAGGCCTTGGGCAGCCCAGAAGATATGTTTCCACCTCAGCAAGTATCGCTTTGCCCACGCATCACAGACAGAACAGCTCAACTTCCCTTCTCCGGGGTTTTCGGCACGCTGCCGAGCGCGACGGCGGTTCAGCCCGTCCCGGTATCCTGCCATCGCTTCGAAGGGAAGTGCAGCAAAGCACCCTCTGCTCCAGCACGATGATTCCCCTCACCCAGCTGAGAAATTTAAGTCACCTGCCAGTAATTCACCTTCAGCTGACACCCCTTCGCACTCCACATTTTCATCCAAAGAGCAAGAACGTTTTCCTAAAAGCTGGAGACTCACAATTTGGGAGGATTAAAAAAAGAGAGAGAGAGACCAGTGTTTGTTACTATTTTTCCTCCAAAATAACTGCTACAAGATCTCCACATCTCAACACCCCTTTGATAAAAGAACCACCGTGGGGTTTGGGTCTCAGCAATCTTGCTTCGATTCTCTGCTTTCTCCTGGACTACTATGACTGTGAGCAAGTCTCTTTGCCTCCATTTTTCCTATATAAAATGGGGGAAACAATCTTTTTTCCCCTCTGAACCTGCATTTGTTTTGTGCAGCGAGAGCCTTTTGTGAAAGGACTCTCTTACTGTGCATTTGTGCTCTTAACAAAGTTGGTGCCTGACCTTGCTCAGGTCGATGAGCGGCGTAACAAAAGAAATCACAGGTACAGGAATTGGGAGAGGAGATGCTTGAAAAGCTGACAGGCCGTGAAAAGTTTTCTGTTACGTCAAAATACAGCAAATGGCATCCTTAGATCGCTCCGTCTGAAGCGATTTTAACCACAGGGTCACCCGCAGATGCTGCAGGGCCATTGCCTCCGCAGAGAACAGCCGCAGCGGCAAAGGCAGCGTCCCAGGAAACGCAGGAACGGTTTCATGGAAACCTTTCTGAAAAGGCAGGAGAGAGTTTACAGGCACCAAAGGAGAGATACGACGAAGAAACCGAGTGAACGTGAGGTTGAGAGAGCCCCGTCTAGAAACTGCCCCCGCGGGCCAGGGGTGCGAGCGCCAGCGCTGCACGTCAACCACGGCGACGAGAAGAGAGCAACGACCGTCCATCCTCAAGGCAAATACGACTTTGCACTTTGGCAACACACCAAATCAATCTTCCTGAAGGCCTTCTCCCTGATTAAACGCAAAATAATTTGTTTTCTTCATAGAAAACACCATTAAAAAAAAAAAAACAAACCACCAAACAACTGAACGGAAGGTCTGTTGATCAGTACTTTACATGAGGATAAAACGTAACTGCTCACGATGATGTTCCTGTCATTCTGACTAATTACTATAAACCAATTTGACCAGGTTTCGTACCAGCTCAACACGGTATTCCGAGAGCACCACACTCACATTTCAAGCCAGTATTTAAAATTTTATCACAGCACTACCCAGCGGCCTGCCATAAATCACGGTACCTGGTGCCGTGCGCGCAAGCAGTGCTGTTTGTTATCGATATAATGATTATCATTAGCCTGCTCAGCCAGCCAGCGACTGTAATTCAGCCTCTGCATTCACGGTGGGTATACGCTGAGGCATTTATATTACTGCAGATGTTATCAAAGCACAGACCTTGGGGGGAAGAAAAAAAAAAAAAACAAAATGATTCAAGAATTTATTTTAAAGCCTGTTTGCTCTGGCTTGGAAGAGCAGCAGAGGACAACCATCTCCAGATGATTTCAATGACCCCGTAAAATAATTTTTCAGTTTAACCAGTTTATTTTCTGATATTGATGATACTCTCTTAGCAACTTAGAATTAAATTTGGTTTTCCCTGCACATACTGTCATCTGCTGTTTGGGACACGTTCATTTTTCCTTGTGACTAAACTGAGACCGAATTAACATAAACATTAGCAGGAATAACTTTGGTTTCCAGAACACTTCCTCATTCCCAACCGTCCTCGTATCGCACAGCACCGACAGCGCATAGCGGCAGCAGCACCGGCAGACACCACAGCGCAAAGCCGGTACCCCCGCGGCTGCCCTTAACCCTCAGAGAGTTTGTTCTGCATTGCTTTATCCCAGCTCGTAGCCAGTTACTGTCCAGAGTTACCTCCCCCGCAGGCAGCAACGGTTTTAAAAGCGGGACAGATTTCAGGCTTAAATTAGTTGCATGTCTTCTGGAACGAGAGGCTGATGCAAGTATGAGAAGGGACTTGGATCTCGGGATCTCCCGGCCGCGCCGTTTGGCGGGTCCCATCGCAAACCAGCTCAGCATGAGAATTTGAAGGTCCAAGTTTTGACGAATGAAAGTACCTGTACTGGGGGTGAAAACTTTATTATGAGGTACCCGTGACTGCAAAGATTAAACAGCTCAAAAGAAGCTTCCGTGAGCCTAATCAGCAGGTTAATAATGTTTCCTGACATAAGTGTTTTCTGTAAGTACGTTATTCCCATAATGCATCCAGCGATTAAAGGCTATTCAGAAATTTGTTTTATAGCAGAAGCAAACTAATTATGTTTGTTAATGTAGTTTGGGAAAGAGATTACTTCGAAAAAAATGAAACAAGTTTGTTCTGTTCTCCTTGTCTGTCCTCCTCTGACCTCTCAGAAAACTTGCCAAGAGTCCTGAAAGGTTGAGCAGAGAATTAACTGAACGAAAATTAAACCGTTGTAGGATTAAGCACAGCGGTCCTAGTTTCTAGCATCATCTTCTAAGAAGTGACCCCTAACTATTATATTAACTCTTTGTAGTAGCTTGCAAGTTGAAAATGACAACCCTGACTTTCAAAGAAAGCACGTAACACAACTCAAAATGGCTTGGAAACATGGGCAAAACCCGGATGCAGCAGTACAGCATGTAGCTGGGCTGCCCCCAGCACCTCTGTGTGGCCTTGTGAGCATACCGCAGCGTCCCCTCAGCTCTCCGGTACAGATTCCTCCCTGCAAGGTGGCATAGGCTTAAACCAGCAACGTCTCTTACCCTTCCCCACACAGCCCTCTAGGTTTCACGCTTGGTTGACTCTCAAACCGAGAAAAACATTTCTCCACAAAGGCCCTAATTCTGAGATCGCAGAGCACAGGACAGCCCCAGCACGGCCCCAGGCAGCGTGCCCACAGGAGCACATCTAGCCCACGGCCTTTCCCACACGCTCTCAGTGCCGGGAGCATCGTAGCTCTGCCACCCACAGATCACCGAATCATTAAGGTTGGGAAAGACCTCGAAGGTCATCAAGTCCAACCGTCAACCCAACACCACCGTGACCGCTAAACCACGTCCCCAAGGGCCACATCTACACATCTGAGATGTTTGAGATGACTTCTTTTCCAGGGAACACACAGCCTTTAGGCAGCCCCACACCAGGCGGGTGTCCAGCATGGCTGGAGAGCACAGGATCTGCCTGGGCACAATAGACCTGACGGCACATACAAGACAAATACCGCGTTCAACGAGACAGCAAGAGGATTAATTACAAAGGCTGACAGTCCCTCTGTTGTAAAAACAACCAAAAATAATATTGTTCCTGTAGGGTTTTTTTGTGTAAACAGGTCACAGCGGGTGTTTGCCTTGGAGGAGCTCCCCATCGCATACCTGTTGCCAAAGCAGAAGACAGAAGTCCAGGGGTTAGAAACAACACGTGGCAGCCGGTGCGCGCAGGGAGCAGAGGTCACGGGGCTTCGGCGTTACCTACCGGCTGCTTTCTGAAGGAAAAAGCAACAAGCCCTTCAAAAGGATCTCCTTCACCAGGCGCTGGTGGCTGTGCCAAGCAGAAAAATCACATCTCTTTTTTTTTGATGCTCAGTAACACACACCCGTCTAAAACATTCTCCATGAAGGCACCAACCTTCACACGGAAGGTAAAACAAAGCTTTCACACGGCTACGCCATTCCCCTTTAAACACCTATGTTAAGTAATCCTCACAAACAGCATAGCTCACGCTTAGTTCAAACCAGGAACTAATCAAGAATGTTTAATATAATATTCCTCACACTGTAAATGTCAAAAAACCCATCAATGCATAACAAAGCAGAGGAAACATTGCTCCCTGCTGTTCTCTGCAGCCCCGTGGGGGTTTACCTGAGTTAAATCTTAATATTCCCCATGACAGAACACGAGGTTTTATTACAAAAGGGATGGGCTGACTGCAGCAACTCCCTCCCTGGCAAGAGGGACCGCAGGAGGGAAGCACCGACCAGGAGAGCGAGCAGGCATCCTCTGAACAAACTCATTTCAGTCCACTGAGAAGAGCGGGAAGGGTGTGGATCAGCATGAAAGGGAATTATGACTTTAAGCAATCTTTTTCTAATCACATGAAAATGAGCACACATGACCCAAAAACTGCAGGCAGAATTAATTATCTACCAAACGTGTTCCACATGTCAGTATAACTGAGCCTCCAAGTCTCAGTAGTTCGGCTACACCCACTAGAAAACCAGGTTTTACTTCTGTTAAGAATTGAACATTTAACCCCAGGAGACCAAACAGTAAAAGCCAGCGCTTTACAAAAGCGTGATTTCCATAACTGCCCCACCCCAGCTCTGCCATAAACCAGGACATTCCTCGGGAACCTGGCCTGGCAGGCTTATACGTTTTATTAATGGTTATTTAACATTCAACCACTCCTTTTTCATCATTTACTCCTCAGGCTCTGTGGTCTTCAAATGAAGGGGGAACTCTCTGGTGCAGGAGTTTCCTAGGCCTGAGCTCCCAGGATTTACACCAATGGAAGTGAGAAGTGTCGAAGGCATTAGCGGAGGAGCTGCGATAAAGAGCAGCAGAGGGAGCACAACCCACGGCTGGTCCTTCGAGGCAAAGAGGAGATGGTGATTCTGGCAGTGGGGAAGCCAGGCAACTTTCTCAGGCCCCTGGAAAAACAGGGCTTGGAGCGAGCCCTGCAGGAAGATCAACGCCGTGAGGCCTCTCGTGGAGTGATTGAGCACAAGGCCAGTGACAAAAGGTAACTTTTAAACACCTGAAATGCGTAACCCTGGTCCACGAGGGCCAAAGTTACAGAATCTTTATTTTTATAGGATTTCTGCTCACCCTAACAAGCGTGTGGGCATTAGGGTTTAGTCAAGGAGCGGAACTACGCAGAGAGAAAGAGAAGCAATGGCTGCAAGCGCTGATAAGAAGTTAGGGCTCACAGTCAGCAGCGAGCTGACTATCTATCGTATGGGAAAGAGGTAAAACCAAAGCAGCATCAAGAGCCATCAAACAAAGGAACGCTTGCAATGACACAGTTAAAGTCCGGGGAGGACTGGTGCTCTGTAAAGACTTGCTGAAAATAAGCACTTGCTGGGGTGGGAATTCAGACTGCTCAGCATCTATGGAAACTGAGCTCTAAATATATCATCTTTCAGCACAGGGATTCAAACACATCTGACTACAAAAGGAAAACCAGTCCTTGAAATTCTGCTTCAAAAATGATGTCCTAAGGACAAGCTCAACTCATTCTTCCACCAGTATCTGTATCAGACCAATAAGTAAGAAGCAACTTCCCAGAAGACAGCGGAGTAGGAATTTCCTATCCGTAAAAAAATACTGGCCTCTTCTTTCACCGCACGCTATCCTCAGGCACCGCTGCTGTGGGAGAAGAGATTACAAACAAGCAGACAGCAGCGTGGCGGGGAGGTGCAGGATAACACTCCTGCTCGCCCAGGCCACCGAAAGCTCCCTGAAGGGATTAAACGGGGCGCTGCTGCTGCGTGTGTTCCTAAAACACTCCTCTATGACTGACACAACTGGCAGATCTCAATGCAAGAACCGTAGCTCTGATTTATAGAAAGAGATTCAAAGCAGAAAAACACCAGAGACGACAGCAGACAAGTTGAAGAAATCAACGCAAGTAGAAGCTACCGCGAGCAAATAGTTAATGGACAGAAGACAGCATATAATAGTAGCTCTAATTAAATATTAATTTTTCTCACTTCACTCTGAGTGAATGCAGCTATCAGCGCTGGCACAGGCGCTTTTGGGAAATAGCACAGTTAAAAAAAAAAAAAAAAGCAATCAGAACAAATGACTTCAGATTTGACTTTCAGCTGCTTCAATTTGCAGGCCCTGTGTCCAAAAGGACCGCACCCCAGAAGAAATCAATCTTCTTTAGTTTGCTACATGAATGAGTGGCTGGGAGGCCTATGACTAATGCCCAATCTCCTCCCCCCACCCGAAACATTTTGCAATATATAATAAATTCAGCACATTCCAAGATATTTTTTTTTTTAACTCACAAAAGAGTAATAATGACCCAAACTTCACCACTGGATGGCTTTTTAACAACTTTCAATCAAAAGATGTTCCCCCAATCATGGTAAAAAATGCACATACCAAATACTTTCAATCATTAGACCGAGACCAAAACGTGCAGAAATGTCCATCGATCACAGCACTAACGAGATACCGCAGCAGAATTTCCTGTTCCCAGACTGAATTCTCAGCCATATCCCCACACAGAGTCACAGCAAGCGGCTTTGCTGAAAACCTGCATTTCGGCCTGCACGCCAGAGCACGAGGAATCGCACGGCCACGCACCACGGCACATGATGAAAGATACTCAGACTACGAAAAGGCGGATAAAACGCCTGTAGTTCCTACCCCGTGGCTTCGGTACCTGGAAGGAAAAGCAGCAGTAGTTTGCACGGTGTCTTATTTGACGACGCATCGGCACCCAGTACTCGATCACACCAATTAAGGATAGTGCCAAACATTCCATGGCCCCCACTTGCACAGACTTGCAGGCTCCTGCTCCGGTAAAAGCGAAGGAAATGCCCCACAAACAGCCCAATGTAGGTGGTTCTCAATAAATTCATCATCTTTGATACTTATCCCAAAATGATCAGCTCCTCCTTCAAAGGAGTTGCTATCACAGAGAAGATAAGCAGCCTGCTGAATGGGAAACGTGGAGATTCAGCTCTGCGTACACTAACTGGATCAATATCTTTCAGGATCGTGCAGTATTTTCTAATTGTAGGGAAGGAGCAATTAGGATACTCCAAGCCACCATCCCAGTGGATATCCTTTAAGCCTGCCAGTTTTCTGGACTTGCACCCCCGTGGTACATGATCCAAACGGCAAAGGATTTTATTATTCTAAAATCAAGACAAACTCCAAATCACACGGCTGAAAGGTTGCCCAAGAATTGCGCAGTCTTAATCCCTGCTCATGAGGAGCTGTTTGAAACTCTGAGCTTACAGGGTGACAGAGCTCTCCACAAAACTTGTGCGAGCGCTTCTTGACAGCCAGCACGCCGCAAGGCGAGCATCCCTTTGCGGGGGCACTGCCAGCTCTCGGCAGGCCCTGCCGGCCAGATGCAGCAGGCGGGCCAACCTCCTCCCGCCACAGCGAGCGTCGCTGCCGGACAACCCATAAAACAATAAAACATCTAAACTAGAATCCTATTCGGACTAGTAAGAAAAGATGAACTAGCCCAGCAAAACGGCCACCGACAGCAGTTCGCAGCTGCTGTTTGCTGGACTACGCTGCTTGAACTAACGGGTGTGCCTGCGGCTGTAAGTGGGAGTTCTGTCCTCAAATACAGACACAGGTACACACCGCTCACACACCTGCGTTTCATGACACTGTAGGCACGTGCGTGTACGTCTGGTGTATTATAAACATCTCCTTCCTTCACGCGAATGGGCTGCATGAGCAATGTACGTGGCCTTAAGGGCTAATGCTAAGGACGCAGGCAGGCTGTTTTCACTCATCATCACAATTTCCCTTAGAAAAAAATCAGCACAGGAGGCAAAAGGCATTTCAATTCCAAGGACGAAGATGTCAGCTCTGTGATGTGACCTTTGTGCTGCTCGTACAGCACTGGCACTAATTAGGTCGTTCCACTTACATCCTGTACCAGCTCTCTGAGGGAAGCAGCTTCCGTCACTACCAACCTCTTCTGAACTCGGACCGCTAACCCAACAGCTCCCTGCGCCACCGTCCAGAACGAATCCAAACAGCAGAAGTCACACACCCCGCCGCGAAGCGGTGGCGCTCTGGGGAGCGTGATGCACCAAACCCTGCCATGTGGAAGCCGTTACCTGCAGAGCGGAGGCGTCAAGGCCGAAGCAGAACTTCTCCCAGGGCCCGGTGCTGCCGGGGGCCTTGGCGAGGCCGATGGCAGCGTTGTGGGCAGACACGCTAACGCTGGTCTCGGGGGACGCCAGCCTGTTTGCGGGAGGAAACTCTAAGAAGAGGGCATAGGTGCCAGTGTCACTGGAGAAGCGGAGGCTGTAGTGGTTCGTGCCCACGTCCCCGCTGAGGCTCTGGGGCTGGATGCCGGGCACATGTAGGAGCAGGGTGAGAGAGGCCTCATCCTGCCGGCAGTGGAAGGGAGGGCACAGGGCGGCCTCGGGGCTGATGGAGCCCCGGGGAAGAGCCATCTCGCCGGGGCTGCC